TGTATAATCCATTTTCTATATATGTCTTTTTTTCAGAACACATTTAACTCTTTTCCAAAATTCTTAATATAACTTTTGCAGCTTCTATACAAATAAAAATTAATCATGGATAAGAAACTTCAAGACTTTTGTTTGTAAAGACTACATGTCCAAATAATCAAGTGACTGAACAAAATGATCTTTTTAACAAAGTGAATCATGTTAGGAGTAAATGTTCTGAAAGACTGAGAGTTGGAAATGATGTGTTTAAAAACTAGTGAGAGATGCAATAAAATATTTCAAATTATGAAAAATGAAGACATTAATTTTAGGAATGCACTGAACATTGTGCAAATTGTGAACAAATATATCCATTTTCTAAAATGAAATTTGGCAAAGTATCTGCTAATTTCATCAAAACAAAGAAACAGTTTCACATACAGAACAGAATTAATGACAGACTGTGATGAAAAAACAGTTCTTTAGTGTTTAAATACCAGTTTAGTACATTTATGTATAATCCATTTTCTATATATGTCTTTTTTTTCAGAACACATTTAACTCTTTTCCAAAATTCTTAATATAACTTTTGCAGCTTCTATACAAATAAAAATTAATCATGGATAAGAAACTTCAAGACTTTTGTTTGTAAAGACTACATGTCCAAATAATCAAGTGACTGAACAAAATGATCTTTTTAACAAAGTGAATCATGTTAGGAGTAAATGTTCTGAAAGACTGGGAGTTAGAAAAGATGTGTTTAAAAACTAGTGAGAGATGCAATAAAATATTTCAAATTATGAAAGATGAAGACATTAATTTTAGGAATGCACTGAACATTGTGATTTTTAGTTCAGCAATCCCTGGCTTTAAATTGTTTCAGATAAGGTATTTTCTCGAACAAATGTGGTTTTGTCTGATAAAAGGAATCAATTCTTTGCTATACTGCAATATTATAATAAAGGCAACATTAATAATAAAGTGCTCTCTCTTTTTCTTTTTTTTTTTTTTTTTTTTTTTTTTTTTTTTTTTTTTTTTTTTTTTTTCCTTAAGGATGCATCTTGTACAGACTACTTACTGCACATGTTTGAAAAAAAGACAAACTTTTCCAAAAGGAATTCAGTCACAAAAATCTAAAACAATTTAGAAAAATTTATGCTTTAATTCTAATTCCTTTTAAAACATAATTGTTAGAATAAAAAATCACTTACAATGACTTAATAATGATATGACAGTATTTATGCAAACACCTCAATTAGGCCATTTAGTTGTAAATGCCCCATTTTTAATTTTTGAAATCTTTTCACCCTATTCTACACACATACCCATGGTATTAAGGCTCTTGCCACAGAAAATAAGGTTTTGCAGAACTTCCATTATACATTTCTCCTATCAATCCACTGGCAAATTAATGTTGTGTTAGGGAAAATTGTGTCCCTGAATATGAGTCAGTTGTAAATGAATTTGAAAATCAAGAATTCAGCCCAGTATGAAATTACAGCTGTCATTCATTTTACATGCTAAAAACAATAAGGCATATCCACTGGCAAATTAATATTGTGTTAGGGAAAATTGTGTCCCTGAATACAAGTCAGTTGTAAATGAATTTGAAAATCAAGAATTCAGCCCAGTATGAAATTACAGCTGTCATTCATTTTACATGCTAAAAGCAATAAGATGGCGATTTTAAAAATTCAAGGATGAAAAGGCTGATGCCCTTGATAAAGAATGTCCACGCCAACCCACTATTGTTATGAATGAATACAAAGAGTAAATCCTGATATTCAGTGGAAAAAAATTACATACAAATATAGTCCATTTAATTCTTAATATATTTTTATAGTTTTTCACAAAATACATTTAACCACATGAAAAATCGAGAAATTTCTTTTTCCCCCCCCCCTCCTTTTCTTAAAAAAATATAAATAAATACTTTCTTATAAAAAATATAATACATGTTCATTTTGCAATATATTATAAATGCTAAAATACGAAATTTCCATTATGTGAATGATCCTAATTTACGTTACTGTACAATCACAAATCCTTGATGAATATTTAAAAAAAATTATACAAATTTATTTTGTGATGCAAAGATGAAAAACAAGACAGTCTCATATCACCATTCCACCTTTTTTTTTTTTTTTTAAATGCATCACCCAAAAAAAAAAAAAAAGTAAAAGTTCAACATCAGATATCTACATCCTTCAGGTTAAAATAAAGCAAATATCTCAATTACTTTACATTAAAGAGAGAGAGAGAAAAGAAAAGGAAGGGGGGAAGCTCATAACAATATATACGTGAGCAGGATATATAAAAACTTAAATGAACTCTGAAATGTACTTTATGTTAATTAACAAGTTAGCATTTTGATGTTTACTATGAATTCTTCCTTCCATATTACTTACCAAAATGCAAATTAGCTTTTTTCAATCTTAGTAAGACAGTTTCTGGCACTCATTATAGCACTTACAATTTTGCCAACTCTATCTAAAGACTTTGCAATCCCCCATTGCCGAGACACTAAACTTGCACATCAGTAAAATACTTAGCCAGCCTATAGCTTAGATATTTGACTGAGTAGTCTTACACTACTTTATCAACATTTAAAGTTATTTGACTACTACTGTTTAATTTATATTGCTATGAGTAGTGATTCTTATCTGTAGCACAAGTCATGTGTTTTAAGTTACAAGTTGAAGATTAAACAATAATAATACAAAAGATTATTTATAAAACCTTTATCATACTATTTCAGACATAGTGATAACTTGCTAACCTGTCTAGTGGGGTTGCAAGACCTACATTGTTTCCAGATGAAGTGCAACCTTACAACTTTAACGAACATTTTAATTATCTATTTTATAAGCATAAATCAACATAAATTTTATGAAATCATCAACTTATGCTCATTTTCATGCTTATTCTTCAATGTGGTTCACAAGCAAATTTATAATAGCACATAAATTTGTGAGCAGTGTAGAAGCATTTTATGATAAATGCACAGAAAAGTGGATGTGGAATAGTTCAATTATAAAAGTAAAGGGAGGCTGGTTAAAATGTTGCAGTATATGAAAATTACCTTTACTAGCACAAATCAGGCTTTACAATATTGATAAAAGTAGCTGATGATGTTTGGAGTGAACAGAATAGTTTAACTCATTCATTAATGTTAATAAAGCCATGAACATTCTCACTTTAAATTTATTTAATTACTTATTGAATTTAAAACAAAAAAAAAGTGAATTAAAGAATTTTTTTAAAATATTTTTGTTATGTATATGTTTAAAATAAAAAACAAGAAAAGAAGTTTTAACACTTTGCTTTATAAATCAGATTTAAAGCTGGATTAAGAATTGCATCATTCATTCAACGATCTGCTTGGTTTAATGATAATTTTGATCGGCCACTCATCAATTGTTATAGTTTAACTATGTCTTATTTTTTACTTTTACTGCTCATATTGTACTTAATCTGTAAACTTCATATCTATGTAAAATCTGATCTTAAATTATCAAAAGTGGCAATGATTACATACAGGTCTATATATATATACGTATATAAGAAAGTCTACAAAAGATATTCACTGCCACCTTACCTAGCAAATCATTATAAAATTAAATTATTAAAGTGTGAATTATAACTTGCATTCATGTTTTAATGCACGTAAAACTTTGCAAAGAAATTATATGTTTATCATAATTAATGTTTATATGTTATTTATATATACATACATAAATCTATGTATGTATGTGTGTATGTATGAATAAGTATAAATTAAAAAGCAATTCAAAACCTAATCCAATTGCATGCTGAAAGCAGTAACAAGTGATGATAATAATGCAAAGTAAATTAAAAATATGTTACAAATCCATACCATGTTCAATTTAGAACAAACCATATGCAAAAGACAGAAAGCATAGTGACAATTTGCATGACAAGTGTAAAAATGCCAAAACCAAAAACAAAAAGGAAAAAAGAAATTTTATATTTTCTCCCGTATTGTCATCAGGGGGTTCATGCAATGAAAGAAGTAATTACATCAACCTGTTTCTGATACAAGACTTAAAATAATGTAATACTTAAAACAATCTCAGAAAATCAAGTAATTTGGGTCTATCATTCCAACTCATACAATAGATTGTAGTAAATAGTGTCCTTAGCAAAATTACAGGATCAAAATCATAAACAAGCTTAAAAATGCTTACTTTTTTCTTGAACAGATCAAGTCCAAAAAGCAAACTGTGTAAATACAAGAAAGCAATCCAACACAAAAATATAACAACATAAAATATTAAAAGCATACAGATCTTTTTTTTTTTTTTTTTTTTTTTTTTTGCAAAATTAAGCATCAAAATCATAAAGAAGTAAAAAAAGCTTAAAGATCAAAAAATTATTTTCTATGTAAGCATACCAAAGTCCCCCCCCCAAATCAATCATATGAAAAAAATAATAGCAAACAAAAATTTGATCTAAAAACATAAAATAAAAATAAAGAGAGTTAGTCCTTAAAACCTATAAACATTACAGCAACAAAAGTTTTGAAATGAATTTTTTTTTTTCAAAACTTTTGTTTGTGTCGATTCAGAAACAAGCTGATGATCATTGCACCAACTCCCTGATGATGATACAGCGGAAGATGTAAATTTCTTTCTTCCTTTACATTTTTGTCCCTATCATGCAGTTCACTATAGTGCTTTTGGTTTCTTTTTTTTGGGGGGGCGGGGGCATACGATTTGTTCTGAAATGAATATAAGAGAATTTTGAATGTATTTTAAATTAATTTGCATTACATATAAAAGATAAATATAACTATAGGTTGTACTACATAATATGCAAAACTTCAAAATACACTATAACTTAAATATGTTACACTATACAACAGAAAACAGAATACCAAAAAAAAAAAAAAAAAAGGTTTAGTTTTTTTTATGTCGAATATGCAGACAGGAGGAGTAATGTATGCTCACAGACACATACACATTAACACACTGCAAAGGAACCACATAAAATGTACTCACACATGCAAGGGAAGGAAGGGAGACTAGAATAAGTGGCAGGTTGTATAGGTTCAGCATTGGCTAATGCAGGACCTGAAAGTGAAAGAATGACAACTAGTATAACTCATGCAATAAATGATCAACATCAAGGTACTAAATCGGTCAATTAGATGAAGAAATTCACCCTTTTCCAAGGCTTCAGTATAATCTGCAGGATACAGAAGGAAAAAGGAATTCCCTAAAAGAAAAGTAAATATTTAATTAATTAATGAGCAATATTTCTTTAATGCAAAGAAAAGAAAGCAAATAATTCCAATCTGTAATATTATAAGGCTGTTCAAGAAAGAAGGATATAGATTAAAAAAATAATTATAATGTACTAATCTGAGCTACATATTGTTCTGATCTTTTCTCAAAGAAATTCGCTTAGCAAGAAATGCTGACACTGCAGATGGGCATGATCTTATTACTGGGCAACTAATTCTTAAGATATACATTCCCATTCACACATCATTATGAATGCAATATACAACCTACTGTTTTGGAAGCTTAGCACATCTTCTGACAATAAATAATATACAGAAGTACAGTGACATGTTATTTTGATGCAGGCAAGCAAAAAATCACAACTATCTAATATGGAGATTTTTTTACGCTTTCAGAAATGAGCAATTTTCTTGTTATTAATTGCCATCACCTTAGAGATGATTGATGGTAAAAAAAAGTATGTAAACAGTGAGCCCTTGGTATCATGTATCTAAATGCTCTGAGACCCATCAATGCATGTATTAAAGGGTTACTTCTTTATTATAGCGCCCCCCCCCAAGATTGAATAGTGAATCAACCCCCATGTTGCATTTTTGCTCTCGCCACATGTTCTTACATTATTTATATTTGATGAAGTTTTCAAATTCGCATAGTTTATTTAAAATATATTCAATAATTTTTTTGTGTGAATATCACATTAACAATCTTTAATTTACCAAGTAATGAGGTTGCCATATCATTTTTTCAAGAAAGAGGACTTTTACCTGACAAACCAGTATGCAAAAATGGCCACAACATGAAACCATTTGGAAGTGCAGTGTTAAAAATTGCTAAAAGAAAAAATGCTTCTGAGTTGGAAATTGTTTCAGAAGTTCCAGAATATCGTTTGTCATTGCTAGTAGATTTTTGTATTCTTGAATAGAAAAGTTGATGTCTACAAAATGGTGTAATAAAAAGCTTAATATGTGCGAAAGTGCTGTAGTTGACTGGAACAATTACATGCGATAAAATACTAATAATAAGGATCAGGATAAGGATTCTTAAAAATATTCTTAGGAAATGATATGTCAGTAATATTGTTATCATTATATGCTGTGTTGTTTATTTTTACATTCGTACATCACGAGCTTGGCAAAATTATAGATGAGATTTTGGCACAAATCTAAAATTGCCAAATATGGTTGGGGGTTGCTATAATAAAGAAGTACCATTTTATCAACGTTAGGTACTATATAAAAATTCTAATTCATGCTCTTCAAACATTATTAAAATTTAATTATAAACTCAGTTCAGTTTCATTCATTAACAGCAAATATCACACAAAAAATACATTTGTTAAAATGCTGTTTCAAAGATACATATCAGTTTTCTACACTACATTAAAATGTGTGCTAAAAAATGTGGCCTGTTTTATTAACACAATTTTTGAGCCCTTGTTAAAAGAGCTCCTGTTTCAATGACATACATCATTTACTCAACATATATTAAAATTTACGCTAAAAATCCTATCCCATGCCCAAAATTCCTCAAAGAGAGTTTATATACCTCACTCAACATGTCCACTTTTCATCACATATTTAATGGTTCATATAGAGGCCTCCCTATCTAATAAAGCACTTGCAATAGGATTAAGGTTTGCTTTTTCAAAAGTACAAAATATTTAACTTTCATTCTAAAATTAATTAACATATTTATCAAATTAAAGAGGAAATATTTAAAATTACTATACACTTATTCAAACTTGGAAACATCTAAAAATGTTCAAGCTTCTTAAATACAAAAGAAAAAAAATCATGCTCCTTTAAATAACATTTATTCAATTCAGGTAACAATGCTGCAGATTCAAGTGCCATGAAGAAATTTATAGAACTATTTACTAGCAATCATCGAATAAAATCTCAAATAACTTACTGGACAGATTAGCAACATCACTAGCATATAAATCAGGCTGCGCTGGAATCTCTCCCAAAGCAAAATTTGTAACTGCTGATGGAGGGCATGCAGGCAAAGCTCCAGTTAAAGGATGATGGCCACTTATACCTAGACAAACAATAAACGTATTATTAATATTATTATCTCAATGCATTTTCTATAAATATATAGAAGCAGATTTTTCTTTTAAATTTATATGCTCGCTTAGAGTTTAAAAAATAGTTATATATCTCTTAGAGCCTAAAAAACATAAAATTTTCATATTGATCGTAAAAAAAAAATAACTTTAGAGAATGAACATTTTCTGTAATCTTAAAATAGTGATTTACAAATTTACACTGCTTTAGATCTTTTCATTCTGGTTAGAATAAATTTTTATTTTTCAACAGTGTAACTAGATTTATTTAAGGTACTTTAGTTATGGCAAAGCATGCAAGGACTGTTCTCCAGAAGGATGCTTTTGTATAGACTACATGAGAACTACCTCATATTTATTATTATACATCGAGTAAATTCCCAGGGTGCCAGCTCATTCAGTTCCTAGAAACCAAATCTGGAAAAAACTACTGATGTTCAGGGGCTTCGTATACTTGGTCAATGGTAGAAAATAAATTAAAATTAAAATTTCACTTTTTAAAACCTTTACAGTAATTTATGCTAAATTTTAGCATAACTACTTCAAAATTCCAAACTAATTAAAATTTTAGCCAAACATGTTGCAACTAAAATGTTCTAAAATGCAACACAAAAAAATTTTAATGAGTAATTTAAACCATATTTTCAAAATAGCATACACAGTTCAATACAGAAATTGCAACAGCAAGAAGGAAAAGTTGTAGAAATCTGACATTCACAGAATCGATATACATATTAAACACATGCAAATGATTAGTAATTGAGGGGGGAAATATTTGAATCATATTGGTTTATTCAGTATGAAAAATAACTGCCATATGCCAAAAGGCATTAATTCACATGTCTCAGTATGCTATCAATGAGGTCATTAATCATTCTCGGAGGAATGTTTCACCATGCTGCAAGCACCTGGCCATGCATTAAAATTGGTTAATGCTTCATCATTCTCCAATAGCTAACTAACAATGCTCCAATGGGATGCAAATCCGGAAATATAACAAACTGCAATAATATGCAAAGTCCAAGTACAAAAACACACTCGACATGCAGCCTTGGGTTTCCATGTGGAAACCACCGCATATGGAACACATTGTAAAGATGATCATACTGCCACCTTGACAGAAATATTAGCATAACACTAGGCTGCTAATATATCAAAAAGACTCAAAAGTTCTGCCTACATTGTGCAATTCTACACCATTATTCCAGGAGCAGTGCTCATATAATCTTCTCTTGCAAATAGTTTATTGATGGAATTTGCTGTATGGTCTCCAGATTAGTTTTCCTATTGTTGCCATTTCCAAGACAGAGGCAAGCCTTGTTTCTGTTCTCCATTTTCCAAGCCTCTCACAAGATAACTATGAACCATTCTTCTAATCTTATGATCCATTCGAGCTGAAGTACACCTCTGTCCACATTTCTTATGATCTAAGTTAACTGCTGGTCTCACAAGTACCAAGAAACAAAACACTGAAGAGTACTGACATTTTGGCCTAAATGCACATACACTTGCTAGAATGATACACTACCATCTCTGAGTTCAAGGATTCTGTCATTCTCTATATGCAATAAGAGGTGAGACAAGGATGATAATGAAGCATCATACTATTTAATCATAAGAATTCATTCTGATTTCTGAAGTGTTGGCATGAAAAAACTGGCTATTTATTCAGGCTTTTATATTATTTAAGTCCCTCTAACATACCACTGATTAGCCCACAACTAACCTACCACATGGTCAGTTGCTTAAAAATTTCATATTTGCATGTCTTAGTTACTTTTACAATCTTTCCAATTCATATAACCTTACTGCTTTTTCTTCCTGGCACTGCTTATTTTAATGTACATCAGTATATGCTTGAATTGTTATTTTTTATTTATACATTAAACTTTACCTTATAAACTGAATTGCATGAAAATATGATGCAATATACTTATATGATTCCAGGTCCACTTCTAGAGGATTTGGGGCCTTAAGTCATGAAAATGAAAATCTGGCCCCTTCTTATATAAATAAAAATGATGGTAATATGTGATATTTCTTTTTTGTAAATTTTTATTATTAGTTTGGGGTAAAACATTTTAAATGAAAATTTTTAAAAAATTAAATTATTTCAGAACATAAAAATTTTTATTCTGTAATTTTGATATATATTTGCTTACTATTGCCTGAAAAAGAATTTTCAAAATTGGGGGGAGATTCAGTTAAAGTTTCTTTCTAGCTGATTCCCCCCCCCCATTTTCCACCTTTTTTTACTTTACAAAACTTATTCATCTGCTTCATATTATATTTATTTTACACTCTACCTACAACTCCCCCCCCCGAGTGTCATTATATCACTTTTTTGTGTTACTAATATACAGTGCCAGAAAAATATCTCAAGAAGTATGAACTATATATTTACATTCTTTTGACAAAACTTTTTATCAACATACACACTCATATACGTCAAATACAAATTCTAATATGCCATTAACTTAAAATATGCAGAAAATTGAAATAAGATTATAACACCCAATATAGATATAAGTTTCCTTGTGTAAGCTAAAAGGAAATATTTAATAATATGAATTTCTCTCATCCACAAAAACAAGTAAACATAAGAAAAGCAGTATTAAGCGTGTGCGTAAAGCCAGTACAGCGTTTACAAATGCGCACTTCCGATAGAGAAGAAAGTGACAGAAAGGTTATTGAAAACGAAAAAATTTCGATTGACAAGTTAGTCGGTATTCTCGACACAGCAATTACAGGATTTGAACAGTGGAACTTTGTAACTGAACCAGAAATTATGTCTGTTTATAGAAGAGAGAACTAAAGAGAAAGTATTAACACAAAAAAACGAAGCAACTTATACAACTTAGATTAAAAAAAATTACGATTACGATTTCATATTTTTAATTGTATAATTTCTGCATGCCATCTTACCAGATTTAAATTGATGATCTATAATCCAGAAAAAAACCCTAATCCAGAATCGCCAAAGTCCCGACGAGTCCGGATTATGGACTTGTACTGTATTTATTTTAAATACTTTTTAATGACACATATTTTAGGCAATTAATAATTTTTCAGTCCATCAAAATTTCCACCTCGAAAATTTGATATTTTAAACTGAATTCTGATCCTTATGTAATATAAATACCGTAAGAAAATAAAAGAGACAATAGATTTAAAATATTTTCCACACACCAGAATTAGCTGCCAAAGTAGGACTTGGTATGCCATTAGAAACAGGGCTTATGGGAGGAAGTTGAAGAGTTCCAACTGGAGAGACTGAGTTGATATACCCTTGTTGTGCAACAGCAGTAGCAAGAGCATGCTGCTGTACCATCTAAAAAATAGAAAGGAAAAAAATTCCTAAAGTGACATAATACATAGTTACATTAATAATTGGATTACACATAAAATGATATAGAAAAAATTTCAGAAATACTGCAATTAAAAAAAAATTTATTTTTAAATGAAAGTAGGGAAAAAAACATTAAAAAAAAAGACAGTTGACAGTGAATTAATATTTTATTCATATTTAACCCTCTAGGTACAACTCAATATTCATACTTTCTGATTCTAGAATATGGGATGACTTTTGATGATGTTTAAGATGTTAAGATTGATTGTTTAAAGGTGTGATTACTATTCACATCTTTAAACAGGCCCACCAGCAGCCGAGGGGCAAAGTCGATGAGCGCTGGTAATTCAGCCCGGTGTTCAAATCCCGGTGAATGGGCTGTCTACATGAGCATTTTTGTGGTTTTCCCAATGTGTAGCATGTATACGAGCCACTTTCCTTTATAAAATCCTCCACAAAGATATCTTTCTCCTTAGGCAGAGAGCCCTCAAGTGCTTTACCATAATCAAATAAATCAATTGATCACATCTTCAACAGTTTTTAAGTAACACAAGAATTTCAATTCCTTTTTTGGGTTTCAAATATATGTAATACGGTGCACACAATTTCAGTGGGCATAATTTGCAAGTTTAAAAAATGCACACATTTTTTTATTTTAATTTATTTAATTTTGAACCAATTTTTATAAAAATTTTGGAATAAAACAGAAAATACAAACTTTGTAAAAACAAAAGATCAGTTTTGCTTTACATTCAGTTATATACAGTCAAGAAGAGAATTAATTAAAATGACAAAAAGTTTGAGTTATTTACAAATTGTTTATGATGACCTCAGAAGCTGAGGTCACTGTTATTTTCACTCATTATGCAAATTTTATTTTTTACACATGATAAACTTTGAAGCATGACCATAAACATATCCAACTTGACACTCTTCACACCAAATATCAGTCTCTTTACTATTTTCTTTCTATTTTTCCTTTCACGGAGCAATACATAGCACAATGTCTTCTATGTTTCTTTTTTATAGGATATGATGGAATATGGGTGGCAAAATGACTTTCTACAAGATGAATATAGGCCTAGCCAGCTAGTAATCATTGCTAGTAATCAATTGAATGTTAGTTTTTAATCACCATAGCCGATATATCATGAGTTGCTATCATGATAGCTGCGAATTTGAAAGTTTTCAGATATTGCAAAAAACAAGCAAAAGTTTCTTATAAATAGAATTTGGGAAGAAATGTGGAAAAGGGGTAATAAATTAAGACGATATAACAGAAGTATTCCATCATGATGACAACGCCCCAATAATCAATTAACAAATGCATGGCAAAATCTGTAGTATGGTTTCCAATCCAGAAAATCTCACTACAATTAGTAAAGAAAGTGACAGAGAGACTGTTGAGAATGAAAAAATTTCAACTGACAATTTAGTGAGAAATTTCGATCCAGTAAATATAGAACTTAAAACTTTGTAACTGAACAAGAAATTACATCTGTCTATAAAATCAGACAGAAAGTCTTGGTAAAAAATGAAGCAACTGGGAAAAAAGCACTTACACTGGGGGAAAAAAAAGTTTAGTAAAGCAAACAAATACTTTTTTTAAATAATTAATTCATCAATTAAATTTTAATTAATTAATTTAATTTTTTAAATAATTAATAAGGATCTTAATTCCCTTAAGGTAAATACATCATTATTTCACAAATAATGATTTCAGATTTTTAGTTTTATTTATAATTTCTATGTGTCATCTTACTAGATTTAAACTGATAACCTACAATCCGGAATCAACGAAGACAGGACGAATCTGGATATCTTCCTTTTTACCAAATTTTTTTAAAGGTTTCCATATCCATAGTAACACTGAGACAAAACTTAGAATTTTCTAAATTCTGCCCATTTTTTCTCCCCTTAGTCTAAAATAATATGCAGATAAAATTCAGTTCAATTTTAGTTCATTACAGTCAATGATTCAGATTCGATTAAAGAAATGTATATATGGTTATGCTATTAAAGTCCCAATTCACTACTAACTGTCAAATGATTCTTCATCCCATATGACTTCTTGTCTAGAAATATCACAATAAATTAAAATACAAATAAAAAATATATACACAAACTAAGAATTAACAGAAACTAACTTGGTAAATCCTTCTTGGCAAACTACGTGCAAACAGCAGAAATTCAAGGTAGAGTGAATTAACGGCCAACATAACATGACAAAATGCTCTCTAATCAACTTCAAAGCTTGATGCTTTTACACTTTAAATTAATTTAAAATGCTGGTGAAGTCTACAAAAGTATAGTAAAGTCCAAACAATAAGATAACTAGTTAGTTAAAATAAAACCTTACATGTTTACCAAATTTGTTATCCCCCTTTTTTCACTTTTCTTTTTAATTTAAAATTTTTTTCCAATTTTGAAGTTCCTGACTTTTACAAGTACATCTTCCAACAAATAGCCAGAATTTTGTTTCTGCTTTAGAAATTTTACATGGAATTACCTGGGATATTTTTAGAGAACAGCTGAATAATTCATTTGAATTCCAACTAGCAATTTGGATCCAAATGTGCTATTCAGATTTAATAAAAAAACAAGTTTATATTGATATTCAAATTTCTTTCTTGCTAGAATTAAATGCTTCATGAACACTCATGTAATGTAATGCACACTCAAATTAAAAAGTGAAAAAAATTACATATGCTACTTTAGAACAAAACAATTTATCACAAAAAGAAAGGAATTTATGTAAAAAATTTAGGCATATTAAAGACCTGTGCATAAGCTCCATATGCTCCAAGGTGACTAAATACGAAAGGATTTAATATGTTGACATTTCCAGACATTTGTTGCATCTTCCTTAATTGACGCTCTTTTTCAGTGTCTGCAAATTTTACAACAAGACTAGAAGAAGCTCCCTGCAATTTAAGAAAGCCATTTTATTAACAAATAAAAACTAACAACCAAGTTTTACAAAACATACATATCAGCCATGTTTTTGAAAAAATATTTTCATTACTTTAAAATGATATGATATGCAGACTTACTGAATTTCTATTCTTTAAATATCAGTAATGAAAGTATATTGGTTTATTTATAATTCCATGAAGTATTTTAAAAATGTATATTAATCATTCATGTGGTCAAAGGTTTGGTATTGAAGTCCTAGTTTCCCCAAAACATGGGAACAAATGGTATTTCCTTGATTATAATTCAAAAAATGACCCTCTCTGTGCCTGGACCGCTTTTCTCCCAATATATACATTATCTTAATTGTCTGAACAGAATTCAGGATGCATGAATGTGAAGCACCGCAACAAATATTTTTAAATGCATATACATGGTTTGACCACTTGAAGAGATATAAATTATATGATCATGGTATTTATAGTATTATATAAACAAAATATATTTTTATGCATTCTAAATGTTTAAGCAATTAGATTATGTCTTTAATTAAATTATCGATTAGGAGTGAAAATGATGAAAGTGACATTCTCGAGAAAAAAATTGCAGATTGCTAATTTAATACATGCATATTACAAAATATACCTAATACATACATATTTAGGTGCTCTAAAACAAAATATTCAGTTGGAAATTAATACCTGAATTTTATTTTAAGCTTTTTATAAACATACAGCATCTCAGTTAATTCACTACAAACTGTCTCCAAAAAGAACAAATAAACAATACATTTTAAAAAACTGGTTTTAGCACTTAGTTATTCACATAATTTTTTTTTATTATTATTTGTATGTATTTCTAAAATCTCTGCATTTCAATATAAAACATTACAAAAGATATAAAAGCCACAATCATTATACACAAAACATTAATACAATAGAAAGTCCAACATCTGAATCTGGATTTCCAATAACCAAAATGATCCATTATCCAAACCTCTGGACCACCTTAACAAAAACAAGCCAAAATATTTCACAAAAAAATGAAGATAGAATCTCAGTGAACACACTTGACAAGTTAGCTAGCCAAATTAAAATACTCCAATGGTACAAGGCGGTTAAAAATTTCGGTACTCAATTCAGAAACCAAGATTATAAAGTAAGATTAATGATTCTGGCATGCGCAAATACTGCAGAAATGTTCAAATATCAATTTTTCATAATCAGAAAAGATACACAATCTCAGGTATTTAAAGAAGTAAAGTTTTTTTCTGTTATCTATCATTCAAATAAAAGAATATGGATGACATAAAGATTAAAGAATGGTTGGCTTGAAAATCTTTCATACCAAAGGCAAAACAATATTTGAAATTAATTGGTTTATCAAACAATTGCCAAATACGGTCTGGATTATAGACAACTGCTTGGCTCATATGTGACAAGTTTTTAGAAATAAATCGATTTTAAATTTTCTGAATAATGAGAAGATTATTCAAGAATTTTTGAAAATTGTTAACATAAAATCTGTTGCATGGAGTATTGCAAGGTCAAGAGAGCATAGACTGCAAATAATTTTTAAAAAATGCTTAGCATAATTTATCGCTAGTTGCCATATTTCATGGTGATAACGATAATGGTAGTCATGCATTTGAGGGTTTTGAAGATACCAAAAATAAAAAGTGAAATTTATCAATTAAAACATGTTAAGAAATGAGCAGATGTGATAATAAATGAAAATGATATAACAAAAGTTTTTCATTGCAGCCTTAATGATCAAACAACTAAAAAAAGAGAAATTTATAATGTAGTTTTAAATTTAGAAAATATTGCCACCATAGTGAAGAAAATAACAAAGTTGTTAAGAATAAAATGACTTTAACTGAGTCCAATAGGAATTTTCGACATGATAAGTACAAGACTTGCATGACAGAGTTTTGTAACTGGACAAGAAACGATACCTATCTTTAATGGAAACATATTAGGGGAAAAAAAAAAAAAAGGAACAGCTTAAAAAAACTTACACTGAAAGAAATGTTTAATAAAATGAATACAAAACTTTTTTTTAATAAATTTTGATTGTTTTCATTTTATAAACAACTATATCAGTTTTTGTTTTTATTAATTTTTACATGTGATCTTACCAGATTTATAATGATGATCTAACATTAGGAAATTTTTTAAATCCAGAATCACTGAAAACACAATAATGTCTCTTTAATAATAATGTAAAGACTTTATCACAGTAATGTAAAGACTTTATACAATATATTTGACTATAATAATACAAGCAACGTGAAGGTATGAAATCAAATATTTTCCAGCATAAAATTCTTTTAACCATCTTTCAAACTAATAAAACTGCCAAAATTGATATAATTAATACTCACAGGCATTGTTTGACTTCCGTGCAAAGCACTGATGGCAGAATGGGCATCTGACGGATTTTCAAATTTTACAAACGCACAGCCTGAAATCAAAATGTAAAATTATATCCTTGGGAGGGAAGAAAAGTATAATTACATATAAAATATGCAAATACTTTCAAGGAAACGATACTATATTTTAGAAGAATTTAAAAAACAGTCAAATTGAACAAACATTTGTGAAAAGTAATTTTGTTTAAAAGATTACACTTGCAGCTTGCACATAAGAATTAGCATATTATTGTTAAAGATCTTCCCCCCCCCCCTGAATCTCATAAAATGTTATGTAATTTCACCCCTTCTTTCATCTGCCTGCAATTATGAAAAACTTTATGAAATTAACAGATATTCTTTATAATTTAGACCTTTACAATAAGGACAAAAAAAAAAGCAACCTATAGTTGGTGTAGGTCTTGATAAAACTCTAGAAAGGTATCTATGTATGCAGTCATATCGCGATCAGACCAGAGTCCCTTTTCTTTCAAAGGAATTCCACCCCCAGAAAAGGAATTAAAGCCTCTCTGCCCTCAAAACTGACAGAGAGGTTCCCTTTCTCAAAATCTTAGCCAATGTAGATTTCTTTTTACACTTAACTTTAAATTTTACATTCATGTGTTTCTCTTACAATCAGAATTTAGACCTTGATGTCTCCAATAATGGTTTAAAAATTCTTAATACTTTGAAAAGTTATTTAACCCTCTGAGTGCCTCGGGTTTTGGGATCTGTCATGAAGACCTATACTCAAAGAGTATTAGCTAAATTTGCATATTTACTTACTTTAGGCGGCTCTATTTTCATAAACTTACATTTATTAAAGAAAGTAAGAAAGCAAAAATATCATAAATTATAAGCTAATATGTGACAAAAAGTGTAATACAGTCAAAAGTCTCTAATCCGGATGACCATAATCCGGAATGATCTATAATCCAGACCTCAAAGCTAAAAACTTTCTGCGCATGCATAACGCATTACGCGTGTACACGTGCGCATACCTTTACGCATGCGCATATGCGTTTACACATGTGCATAATACGTTTACGCATGCGCGTTTAATGTATAATGGACAGTATAAGCTAAGCTAAAATTGTCTAATCATCTATTTCAGTTAATGTTGCAGAATGCGTTGTTCCTTATTAATCTTCTAATTGGATCCGGCTTATTATTTTTTGAAGACTGTTAGAGCAATTTTATAAAAGTAAGCCTGAACTTTCGATTATGTCAAAAAGAATTTCTAATTCTGGAGCTGCCAAAGGATCTACAAAGCGAAAGCATGTTTCGATGTCCATCAAACAAAAAGTGGAATTGTTGCAAAAAATGGATAAAGGCATATCCATTGTTTCTCTAACCATTCTGAAATCTGTTTATCAGGTGGAGGGGGGGGGGAACATCGCGGCGAGCAATGAACTGGAAGTTGATCTGTCAGCACTATTCTTATCTTCAGGGCAGATGTTTCTATTTTATCCGGCTTATAATTCCTTACTAAATGTAGTATTTCATCTCGATGTGCTCCGTCTTTGATATGATTTAAATCAAATTCCTCGTCATTATAAATATCACGAATACACATTAAATAGTTTTCTGGTTGCAATTTTCTAAATTTGACTATGTGTAATGTATGCTTCATGCATGTGCGCGGTGAAAGAAATGTTTAATAAAGTAAAAAAATTAATATTACGCTTTTTTTTTTCTTTTTGTAAATTTTGATACCCTTCAGATCATAACTGCTCTTTATTTCATAAATTATGGTTTTGTATTTTTAATTTTATAATTTCTGTATGCCATCTTAACAGATTTAAACTGATGATCTATAATCAGGAAAAACCGATAATCCGGAATCGCCGAAGTCCCGAAGAGTCCAGATTTAAGACTTTTGACTGTATTTTTTTATGGTAGGATCCCACAACTTTGAAAAATAATCCACTGTCCACTGTTCTATAGAAGTCACATCCCAAGTTTTAATGATTTTTTTTCGAAATGCAAGAAAAAATACAGCAATACCAATTGATTCATATCTCTGTTCATAAAAAAAAAAAAAAAAATCACGTCTTACCAAGAATCCAGGATTCATCAAACAAAAGTGTAAGTGTTGTTATATCATGCTTATTTATAACTAACATAATTATAAATCTGACTGCTTGATAACAAATTCATGGTACACAGGATAATATAAAAATAGCTACTATTTTGCTATACAATAACAACAATCAAAATATCAAAGTAAAAGAAAAAAAGCTTTCCTAACACAAAAGAATTGTCATTTGTATACTTTTAGTGGAGGGGGCGGATATTTTTTAAATTTTGAAAAGTTGTTTCTAACAGAAAGTGCAGTCTAGAAAATTAATTTAAATTTGTATTCTAAAAGTGAGTACATGCATAAAATAACATGACCATAAATATGCATATTACTTAGTCTGAATTTAAAATAAATAAATAACCTTTGCTTTGACCGTCTGGACCCCGGAGAATGGTACATTCCTCAATGGAACCAAATGGCTGGAACAATTTCAGGACATCTTCATCTGTCTGTTGTTTGCTCAGCATACCAACAAAAAGCTTCCTATCTTCTGAAAAGAAAATACCTCAGAAAAAAGTCTGCAAAAATTGCCTAAAATACACATAAGTATTTAAGGGAATTTTTAAACAATTTCACTTCTTTAAACAGCTTCTCTTTTTTTATATTCAGTAATAATCAGGCTCTTTAAAAGCATTACAGATTATCACTGATGATTGATTTTAACATTATCACTGACTGACTGATTTTAATTATTCCATACCAATTAAAAAAATTAAAGTACACTGTGCAAAAAAAGGGGGGCACAATTCTGTATCTCCCGTTCTACTGGGCCAACTGATGAAATTCAAATTGAGTTTTTCATGTCTGAAAACCACAACTTAGGGTATGTCGCGCTTTTGAGACATGGAACATATAAATCTTATGTGCTTATTTATATATAGCATTGTTCTAATATAGGTATTTTGAAACAAAATCGGACTTTTTCTGAACTGACATGCCAATTTTTTTCCCTATTTCAATTCTACGACTAAAATTATGCCAAACTGCCAAGTTTTGTAAAAATCGCATGAGGAGTTTTTCAAAAATTAGTTTCCAAAATTTTAGCTCCTCTATGTTAACTGAATTTGATATATATTTTATTAATATATTTTTTATTAAACCTGATTCCTTCTTCCAGAATTCAAAATTTAGACTTGATCCAAATATAATTTGCACATTTTTATGGTTTATTTTTAAATATTTTTTATAAATTTTTTGAAAAAATTTTTGTATTATAACCCTAAAATTTTAACATAATCTTAAAGTAGATGTATTTGTAAGCATACCTGCAAAAAATTAGAGTTTTTTTATTCAAAATTTTCTAAAATATACATGAATTTATATATTGGTGCATTTTGAAATTTGGCATATAAGCAATAACAATTCAAATATGCTTTACGCACTTTGTTAAATTTATTTGAAAGAATGAAACATATCTTTTTTTCTGCTCGTTTTCAACGAAAAAAGGAAAGGAAAAAAGGTTGCTATAAATTAAGAAGTTTGCCAAGTGAATTATTCTTGGAACAAACTGAAAAAATTATGCCAAGATAAATTCTTTAATTTCTCCATAAATTTCGTACCAAATTTTACAAAATTTATTATTTAAGCATAACTTGTGTCGTAGAATCAAAATATGGAAAAAAAATTAGCATATCATTTCAGAAACGTCCAATTTTGTGTCAAAATACCTATATTAGAATGCTGTACATAAATCTAATACATATCCTAAGTCACACTTTCAAGACATGAAAAGTGCAATTTGAATTTCGTGAATCGGCCCAGTAAAATGGGAGATATAGAACTGTCCTTTTTTTTTTCTGTACAGTGTACATCTGATTTTCGCCAATGACTTTTTTTTCGGGGGGGGGGGCTAAATCTATTGATTAAAATCATTGACACCTTATCCATGGCTCTCACATAATATAACATAATATAAGTGTTTTGTTTCTGTACTTAACGAAAAGCAAAAGTACTATTTCATAAAATACAATACTGTACTCTCAAATAAAATTACTAAAATTTTTTAATGAAAAATTTAGTTAAATTTGAGGGTTATGTGAACATGGCAAAACATGCAAAAGCTATCTGCCTAACAAGAGGGATACCTTGTGGAAAACTCTGCAAGAGAAACTGGTTCATATTCATATTACACAGAGGGAAAATTATGAAAACAACCATGCACCAAACCCCTTCGCTTAGGATACACTCCAGGTCAAACTTGCTATATTCAGCTGTCTTAACTACTCAGCCACTCTCGAGGCATATAACTAGTAACTAGAAAATATCATGAAAATATTAGGAATATAGTAAGCATTTGCAAAACTGCCTATTCATGAAGAACTCGTGCAAGAAGGACATTTTATTGTATTTTTATATACAACTTCTGGCTACCACATAATAAAATTGTAGTACTACATTTTATTTTAAAAAGAAGATAAAAATTGTTAATTATTTTATCATGTCATGATTACATACTGTATGGGATTTATTTTAAATGTTATATTTTTATTGCAAATAATGGCGAGCAAACTAATATGATAAATTGTAAATCTAATCTTGGTTTCTTTTCACATTATATAATGTACAACACTAAAAATAAATATAAACTTGTTTACATGTGTGCTTGTGATGCTGGAAGGAGTTCTATTACCTGACAATTCTTTAATCTATCACAGTAATGATCCTCATACTGACTAACTGAGGTTCTAACTTTTTATTTCAACTTTTGTTTAATTATGTTTCAATTATGGGCATTCACAAATACTCACACTTTATTTTGTACTGCACAAGACATGTAAATTATAATTCTATGATGAATCCTTATCAAATTTTGAATTTTAAAAAGATGTTACCTATGAATAATAAAAGTATAAATCCACTTTCATAACTATCATTTAATCAGTTGAATAGAGAATAAGTTACACATGATACATGAAGCTCTACAATATAGAACAGTTTTAGCAGCAAAATAAAAATGCTATCAAGAGAATACTTCACAAAACACAAAATTTTATTAGCAGTCATTAACCTCATATAAAAACACAAAAATAATTAAACTTCTAGTTTACCTCCTTTATTTTCACTATCAGCTGGCTTCACTTGAATGGGTCGGGTCATCTGAAAAAAAAATTAAAAATATTATTTCAGAATAACATTAAATATAAAAAAGTAGACATATCGAGACACAAACAAAAGATATTTTTAATAATTATTAAAAAATTAAATATAAATTCATATTAGATAATTAAATAAAACCCATGCATTTTTAGCACATAATTTTAACACAAAAGGTTTTTAGTTATTTTACAAAGCATTCATCAAACATTCATTATAATACTTTTTTACTCCCCAAAGCATGCGAATGCTACAAACTATTAGCAAAATAATAACCATTTTCATATATTTATCAGAATTCCAAAAGGCACATATAATTTTTTGTGTTTAATTTTATAATACAAGCTATAACTGATAAAAACTGACTATATAACAGTGATAATAATCACTTTTATAATGTTAAAAAATATATACACCAAAGATATAAAATTTGTTATATGATGAAAACCCAGTGTCACATATTTTATGAAATTTTTACATAATTTAATGAATAAAATTCTGAATTCAAATTCTAGAAATGATTACAAATAACTTTTACACTGTTAGTCTGTTTAATAACTATACTGCTTTAATTGTGTTATTCTCTTAGAAGTAATATGTACTGTTCTAAAACAATAATGTGCAAAACTTAAGCACAGATGTAATTCTGCAGCAGAGATTTTACAAAGCTGGAGAAGGAGGCTTGTAGTGATTCACACAATGGAAGCTGTTCAGCAGAAAGATGATTTGTATGCAAATGGCAGAAAAACATTACAGGTTACACAAGAACACATTAAAAGGCCTCCATAAGGCATGATGATAAATAAAGGAAAGATAAAGTAATTACAAAAGGCATTCACTGCAGGTCTAAGTGAACTAACTGAATGTGTAAAAAGCTTAAATGAAGCCATATGGATGGTTTAACTCAGAGAAGAATAACTGGTAAGCTAAAGATAGGATCACAAATGTAGCCCAAGATTTGGTATCAATCATAGTATCATTCCATGCACTTCAGCCTTTTGAAACACCAGTACAACTAAGAAAAAGGCTGGTGACTATTGGCTAAGAAAAGCAGCATCAATGGATAGCTGGTGTATCATTCTACAAGTAAGAAGAGATCGACATGATACGCGATCATGCATAGCAGAGAGCATGCGATACAGCTCAGCAGCTGCATATGATAACAGGACATCATATTACAGTTGATTGTGGCCGCTTGCCTTCATCAAAGTTGTTTACTCAGTCATCACCCTGAATGCTGCATTCCACTGATAGGTAGTGGTGCCATTTTGATTGGTGTAAAGACTGGACACATCATCAATAGGATCACATACACTTTAACGATGAGGGCTGTTTCAGTGTCATAAATGATTCTGGTCCCAACTTATATGGAGAGATGTGAGGCCATGGTTTTATTACAGTAATATCAGCAAAAGAGATTATTATGGTAATCTTGGCCTGTTTGTCTGGGAAAACATGATGCTAAACAGCCACATTACCCTCCACTTCATGACAGCATAGCATTAACAGATATTACTATAGTCAAGAAGTGATTCTTCTCCATTGCATCTGCTTTGAGATATTGTTGATGCAAATTTGTTTTTAGCTAGCACTAGGACCACATACAATTTATGCTGTGTACTTAAATGGATTCGCCAGCATACTACCCTGACTTAATTCAAATAAAACAGGTGTAAAATGCTTTGAGAAAATGCTTCTCCACATGACAACATTCAATAACCTAAACAGGTTCTGATCAAGGAATGATGATTTTAAGAATTGTACAATCATATGCTGCTGAATATGGGAAGATGATGATAAGTAGCATTAAGGAAGGTTATATCCCTTAAAAGACATATGTGTGTTGTTATCTCTCTTGGGCAATCACTGATTTTGCACACAATGCCATATTTTTTCAGCTCAAATATTGTCTGTATAGTGATTTTAATGTCCCCAAATGTGGAATTATAGAAAAGAAGCTAATATATACTTAAGTTTTGCACACTAGTTTATTTTACCAGGGAGCTGAGCACTACACTTACAATACAGTAACAATGACCTAAAAAAAAGTTATAATCAAAATAAAATATTTATAAAACCTTTGATTTAATTACTAAAAAAACTGCATGGGTTCTCTGTAAATTAAACTTAAAAGTTCCCCCCCCATTAACCTGGCAGGATTAATGCAAATCCCAACTAATAAAATCTCTGCACATACAGAATTATCATATGTGGTTTTATCTGAAGTTCAATTCTTGTGAAATGGGCATGCTGCAGAGGTTTTTCCTGACTTCTGTCATGTATAATGTGAATATAAACCAGTTTTTCTCAAGAAGTTTGCTTAATCTACCTCTATTATGGAAGATATAACTTTATCATAGTAAATTACATATTTACCTCATTGTTTTATTCACAATCTAGAGTTATATCTCAAGTTCCCCAGCAAAAGTTTCTACAGAAAATATGCCCCATTTCTTGACAATAAAATCATTCATTACCAAATCTTACAAAAACTTAATTAATACCTTAAATTGAGAAAGAAACATGCCAATGTAAAATTTAAAACTAAGCAAAAAATTAACCTTAGTTTGACACAGATTTTAAATAAAACTATCAGTTTCAAAGTGATCATTCATCAATGAATGATCAAAGTGATCATTCTCTCTTCTTCAGAAGCAATAACATCTTTGCTAAATATAAAGAAGGACCCTTGCATCACCCTTGAAACAGATTGAATTTTAATCAAAAATCTATGCCAAACTAAGATTTCATTTCTGCTCAATTTAAATTAACAACTGTTAGTTGTTAGTATAAAGCAGAACACTGAAAAATATGTACACACACAAAGCCTTTAGGCTATTACAGAAAGAGATGAAATGAGTAAGGGATTATCAAAACCAAAAGCACACTATTTCATTGAAAGTATATCATACCCAATGAAATGCACAATATTTGTGCGAAAAACTTCATTTTTGACATTAAAGTACAACAGCAGATTCAAACGAAGCTTCCCTTTCACAGCTTATAGGAATTATAGTAGTTTGTTCTGGAAAAAAAAATTTGATGTCTTCCGATTATCTGCATTCTCACCAAAAAGTTGTGAAAAAGTACTTGACGAAACAACGTAACATGTCACTGAAAATTATTTATGTGGCACCCACAATGTCACTAAAAATTATTTATATGGCAAGACAGGTATGCATGTAGCACACAGGTATATGAGTAGAAGTGGATTTGCAATTTTCAAATTCAACAATCATTTTTCTGATTAGCATTTTGTTTTGCGTTAAGTAAATTTATTCTCGTAATGAATTATAATGAAAGTGCAAAGTTTGTTTATTGCCTCTTTTATTGTTATTACATCGATGTGTGTGTCAGAGCACTATGCCATTTGTCCAAAATCCAGTGGGGAGGGACAGCACCAAAAAAGCACAGAACAAAAAAATTTCAGGATTTCAAAAAAAAAAAGTCATTATTTCATTTTTTAAATGAATGTAAAAAATAGGCAGCACTGGATGCATCCCTGAAATAGATTTAAAGAAACCATAGCAAATATTTGTCTCCAAAGTCCCCAATTAGTTCCAAAATGCTCTTCAAAATCACCAATGAATCACTGACAGTTTGGTAGGGTTGCAGATAATCAGAAAATACCAGAATGACTTTAACAGGAAAAAAAAAAAAAAAAAAAACTATGCCAGTCTCAATCAACAGTTAAAAAAAATGTGAGTTACTGTAAAACAAATCAGTATGTAAAACAGCTATGGTAAACTATATCATGAATAGCAAATCAGTTTACTTTCAATTTCTTGTTTTTTCTAAAATTTAAACATATTCATGGTATTTTGAAAGTTCAGAATAATTTTAATATGAACTAAAGTAATTATTAGAGAGTTCAGACAACAAGAAACAACAGTATTTTTCATAAATTTGCAATACAGTCAAAAGTTGTTAATTCGGACACCGATAATCCGGAATGATCTATAATCCGGACCTCAAAGCTAAAAACTTTCTGCACATGCGTAACGCATTACGCGTGTACACGTGCGCATAATACCTTTACGCATGCGCATATACGTGTGCGCAAGTGCAGAATACGTTTTCGCCTGCGCGTTTAATGTATAACGGACGGCGTAAGCTAAAATGATCTAATTATCTATTTCAGTTAATGTTAATGATTGCGTTGTTCCTTAATCTTCGAATTGGATACCGCTTATTATTTTCTGCAGACTGTAAGAGCAATTTTATAAAAGTAAACTTGAACTTTCGATTATGTCAAATAGAATTTCCGATGCTGGAACTCCAAAGGATCTACAAAACGAAAGTATGTTTCGATGTCCAACAAACAAAAAGTGGAATTACTGCAAAAAATGGATAAAGACATGAAGAATGTGACAGAAAGGTTAGTGAAAACGAAAAAAATTTCGATTGACAAGTTAGTCGGTATTCTCGGCACAGCAATTAACGAGACTTGAACAGCAAAACTTTGTAACTGAACAAGAAATTATGTCTTTTTATAGAATTAAAGAGAAAACATTATCACATAAAATGAAGCAACTTAAAACAACTTACATTGAAAGAAATGTTTAATAAAGTAAACAAATAAATTAAGCTTTTCTTTTTTTTTTTTTTTTTTTTTTTTATTTTGATTTTATACCCTTTAGAACATAATTGTTCTTTATTTCATAAAATTACGGTTTCATATTTTTAATTTTAGAATTTCTGCATGCCATCTTACGAGATTTAAACTGATGATCTATAATCCGGAAAAATCGATAATCCGGAATCGCCGAAGTCCCGACGAGTCCGGATTAACGACTTTTGACTGTACTAGTTTCTACGGTTCTGTAGTCAAACTGTCAAACTTAATCTGAAAATTACTGCTGATTTCTGTTGTCTGAACTCTCAAGTAACTGTTATTTGGCAAGTTACACTTACTTTAACTCAGAAAGTAGTTACTGCATTAAACAGCAGTTTACATCTTAGGACTCATTATAAAACTATGCGCTACTTGTGGATTTAATTGG